GATCATCAAAGCAAGGAATAGGAAATCGATAATTAATAGTAATCTTGTTAATAGCACGAAAAATACGCCAAGTACTATCTTTCTTAGTGTAAACAAAGCGAGGACCGCACATGGACTTAAATTATGACGAATAAAACTCCTGGACAATAACTCATCCACTTATTTTTAATAGCTCGGCGTGTTCATTTGGATTCATGCAATATGCTGGGAGATTAGGCAATTGAGAACCCGGTACAAAATCTATTGCGTGTTGGGCACTACGCATGGGAGGGAGCTCATTAGGCAACTCTTCTGGAGCTACATCAGAAAATTCAGATGGCAACTTTTACACTTTTAAAGGTACATCAGGTTTAGCACCAACAAGAGATTTCTTCACTTCTTTAATCACTATAGCACAAATAACATTTGGGCCTTTACTTTCTAATTCAAATTGCTTCTTTTGCGTGTTGGGCACTACGCATGGGAGGGAGCTCATTAGGCAACTCTTCTGGAGCTACATCAAAAAATTCAGACGACAACTTTTGCACTTTTAAAGGTATATCAGGTTTAGCACCAACAAGAGATTTCTTCACTTCTTTAATCACTATAGCACAAATAACATTTGGGCCTTTACTTTCCAATTCAAATTGCTTCTTTGACAGGATGTAAATAGGCCTTTGCTTGCCCTCAACAACACACTTAGGTTTTGATTCTTCATATTTCTTTATATCATCATGTAACATAGGCTTCAAAACAATAGTCTTCTTTTCAAATAGAAAAGTATAGGTGTTTTCTCTCCTACAATGCTTGGCATCTCAATCATAGAGCTAAGGTCGACGGATATGAGTGATTTTCATAGGAATCACATCACATAATATGGAATCACTTAATTTTTCACAAGAAAAAGAAACGAGACATCATTGAGTTACCGGTATAGAAGTGTTATCAATCCAAGCTAGTTTGTATGGTTGAAAGGTGTGGTTCCACTAGAAGCTTAAGACATTCAAATGTGGATGCCAACACAACATTCATGCAGCTTCCACCATCAATAATAAGTTTTTTAGCTTGATTTTCACAGTGAACCAGCATCTGAAAAATAGAAGTGCGTCGCCAATCTTCTTACTCCAATTTAGGGGCAACTAGAATGCGTCTCAGAACGGAAAGAAAAGAAGTATCATCTTCGTCTTTCTCCAAATCATCAGGGACATATGCTCCATAATTAAATTAATTCTATTCCTTGGTATCCTCGTGTGGTTGCTCTTCGTCCTCATCTTCCGTCCCAATATGTACGTTGTTCTTCTTTGGACATTGTTAAGCCATGTGTCCCGACTCACGACACTAGAAACAAACATCATTGTCTCTCTCGTTTGATTTATTAGTCATAATACCTTTACCTTTAAGATTAACCACGTTTTGAGGAACAAGCATGTAATCCACTTGATCGATTGAATGGTTGAAGAGGTGTTGTCCTTGCGCCACGGTTTGCATCATTAGGCCTCTTTATTGTTGTCTCCCCAACTTGAAACCCCACTTATCTAATAGGTAGGTATCTCAAGTACTCCTCCGTGTCAAGCGCCACGTAGAACGCATGCTCCACACTATATAGGGGCTACCGAAACAATTCTCGCTTTAAATCAGCCCGTAGATCAGCTTTAAATCAAGTTAGTGTTTGGTAGGGATCTTCCAAAACTTGGCTTCGAGTCTTAAGTTCATCAAACATTAGCATATATTTTGCCACCGACATCCGGCCCTGTTTCAAATTAACTAATTGCTCCCATAATTTATCATGATAATTAGTAGGCATACATTTCTCTCTAAGCTTTGCATTCATCTCTAGCCATGTGCTTATAGGAGGTTGTCCTAATCTTCTTATATCCCCTTCCACGTCAGTCCACTAATGTTTTATCAAGTCTACAAATTCCATCTTAGTAAATCTTACTCTCCCGTTGTCCGTAATATCATACCAGTCAAAGTATTCCTTAATTAAAAAAAGTCAATCACAGAATATTGTAATATCATTCTTTCCATCAAAATCTTGTATCTCCATCCTCATATGTCAATATTTAAGTCGCATAACATAGGATTTTTTGGCTCTGATACCAATACTGATGTAGGACAAATTTGTAACATAAAAATAGGGGTTGTTCTGAGGCTGTGAACAGTACTCGTGAACAATAATTATGCAATGAACAGTACCCGTGAATAATAACTTTGACAAGGAATTACTCCTAGAGTTCCTTAGGCATCACACCTAAGGGTTAGAATTGTATTACACAACTCAAGAAACATATAATTGCTAAAATTTCTGAAATATCACTCCCCCTCTTTTTATTAAAAATATAACTAACTATATATAGAGTTCTAAGTACTCCTAATCCCAAAAAATTAGGATTTCAAAAACTTTAGGTCCCTAAAAATTAGAAAACTAAAATTAACTAGAATTAAGACTTTAAATTCTAGAATATTCACCACTACAGGATAGAAGCAGATGTCTAGCGGTGATGGGTTGTGTGTGCTCTATGCAGAATGTCGAAGCCATCCAAGACGAAGTTGGGGCTTTATCTGCCCAATGCCTTCCTAGCAATGGGAAAAGCATACCCATAGATTTCATAGGATGATTGCCCTATCTCTTAAAGGAGGGGGGATAACTACATTTTTGTCATAGTCGACCTTTCGAATTCAGTAAGATGTATCCCCACTCTAAAAATTATAAAAAAATAACATAAAACACTAATACTATCAAACTAAATCAAAGAAACTAAAATAAGACTCTTTTTATGCTTATGCAAGCTCTCAAGTAGGCTCCGCAACATCCAATATGTGTCAAATTAACGCTTGGGTCTTGGAAGCATCTTTCCTTCGCCTTTTATTAACTTTATAAAATTGTTGTCATTTGTCCCCATTAGTGAGTTCGTTGGTACTTTACCCACCAAAGTCTTGTTTTACCTTTCAATTTTGATTCTACAAAGAATACCTTCCTCTCATCGGTCAAACGATATCATCTGAAAAAGCTTTCAATGCTATGCAACCAATCAAGGAATATTTCGAGATTATTAACCCCGTTAAAATATCCAACTTCTACCTTAACTCCTCTATCGATATCAAACGAAATGGGTTCTTCTTGAATTTGAGCTCGTGGAAAGGGCTACTGGTGATGATGATAATAATGGTGATGATAGGAAAGGGCTACTGAACAGTAACAGGAGCCAGAGAATGGGGAAGCAATAGAAAGACTAATGGATCTGAGTTGTGCTCTGATACCAATTGATGCAGAGAGTGAGGGAAAAGAAAAGGGATAGCCAATCCTCGCAAGGATTTGGTCAAGAAATACAAATCTCCGCATAGAATTCTCAAACTAATATTAACTAATAATGTAGAATCCAGCCTTATTTATAGACCAAGTGTCCTACCATAAATGAATTACTCTATTACTAAAACTCTACCAACTTATCCCTACTAATCTCAATCTGATAAATACTATCTAACTAAAAATTCAAATAATAAATAATAAAAATGACAAATAAAAATCTTAACAAATCTACCCGGTACATTTCCCTTTGGACCAAAACTCTTAGCCATCCACCTAGGCATCTAGATTCAGTCACACTTGTCCAACCATTCTATGGCTACGCCATCGGTGTGTCACCTACTTACCCATTGTACTAAAAGCTTACGGAGAGTTTAGCTTCAGTTGGATAATTCCAAGAGGTTTTCATAGTGTCTCTTCATTCGAGCTAATCATAGTGTTTTGGGGAAGGAATGTAGAGCTTATATCTAGTTGAAATGTATGGTTATGGCAATTATTTGGACAATATAGATGGAAAGGAACAACAGAATTTCAAAGGTAGGGAGGAATATTTGGAGTTTAATTGGGAAAAAGTAAAGTTTTTGGCTTGCCTTTGGATGGCTGCTACTAACGAGTTTTGAGGACGTGCACTTTTCACCCCTTAATCTATATTGGGCCCCGGCATGTTGTTAAATGAATACCTTTAAATATTCCAAGTTTTTTTTTCATTTCTTTCTGTTTTTCATTAGATGCGTTTCTTGTCCACAATATTGTAATCTTTTCTTTATCTAATAAAATTTATGTCCCTTGCAAAAAAAAAAATTGCAGCAAATGACATACTGGTTAATGTTAAATGCTTCAACAAAAGTTCAAACAGGTCAGTGTCTTACTTTTATGTTCTGCAGTAGTATACCACTTTATATCAGTCGAATGCAGCTACCCCAGTAAAGATTTAGTCTAAATTCATTTTCAAAAAGCATGGGCATGTTTTTACACAGCTGAGTTGGAAATGGAACCATTATTTATTTGATTTCAAATTACTTCCTAATATTAACGAAGAAAGCATCTGATTTCCAAAAAAACCAATCATCCCCTTCAGAATTATTTTCAAGGTTAAAGAAAAATGGAGAGAGGAAGGCTAAAAAACAGCAGAACATGACTAACATAAAAATAAAGCTTATCTTCCAATAAAACACTTACCTGAAACTCTGGCCACCACAAGATTGAAATCCAGGTTCACTGCTAAGCCTGTGATGTGTAGTTTGTTTCAATTCCCCATCACTATCAATAGATCTCGTAGTGACTGTGCCTACTGAACGTTTCCTTTTCATTTTCCTTTCCCACCCTTCCCCTCCTGCAGGCAGTCTGTGAATTTTTTCTTCAATCAGATCAGAATCTGTACCAGAATCCCTAAGCATATCTCGGTCTTTTGTCGTTACCAGAGACTGCCTTGATAAGTTATTACTTCGGCATTCTGCCTGAAATAATATGGAATAACATGAGTAGTAGCAAGTCCTTCTAGGTGACGAGATGGACCTCAAGTAAATGACACTCTTAGCAACCAAAGTATGATAACTATGGGTTGACAAGATTGAGCCACGATAAAGCATCAGCATATCCCATGAAAAATGAATACCTTGTGGCACTGGTCTTACAACTGAGGTGATTGATTGTGATACTTTTCTTGATTATAAGAATTACAACACATAAACTGGTTCGTTCATTTTTTTTTTTTATACACATGAGAAAAAAGGCATTTTAAAATTTCAATAAATGACTTTTAAGTTCAGTTTTCTTTAATGATTAATACATCATCTATATAAGACACTTCCTTTTTTTCGATAAAAACATTAATTTTATCAACAACGAAAGCATTACAAAAGCAATAACCAAATCAAAGGTGGACACAATGTCTGACATAATGGCGGGTCAAAACAAAAACTAAATCAAAAACAACACGGTGCTTTCCAACTTGCAATAATACAAAAAGTGGTGTATCACATATTACAGAAATGCAGGTAGTGAGTATAACGGAAGGACAAGTTCAGAATACAAAAATGGGAAGCTTCTTTTTAGAAAAACTAAAATTAAAGATAGTTTCAAAAATGTCAGTAGAGATCAAACTGCAGCATTATATCAACTACAAACCCGTGTTTCTGCTACTGATGTGCGTACACGCTTATTCAGACCAACATTCTTAGGCCGATCATCCAATTTCTGAGTTACAAGTTCTGGCGAAGTTCGTTGAATCTGGATTCCCATCTTCAAGTTCAACCCACCTGATCGTTCGATTTTTAATAGCTCATTCCGCCTCTGCTTCTTAGAGGTCACAGCTTCGTGATATTTGCCCAAGTTGTGTAAGAGTTCTTCCAACTTCTTTGTTCTACCCCTGGTCATAAAATTTATATCTTCAGCATTCAATATTATATTTGTATCTCAAAAGGAATAGAAAGAAAAATGATTAAAGACCTGGCTTTGATAGAGGTATCTATAATACTTGCTCTGACACGCTTCAGATCCTCCATAGCCACAGCTGGGGAAGGCTTGAGATGAGTAGCTCCAAATGAATTGTCTTCCGAGGTACAGCCAACAGAAATGCCGAGAACCCTCCTTAACTCGCCTGATCGTGTGTATTTTTGCTCACCCATTACAATCGGCTCCAGCATCAGACTCTGTCGAAATGGGGGCAAATCCCCAGTCAGTGAACCACTCCCCCGCGACGTGCCCATCCCAGAACCAAACATCCGGCTCTCAGCACTCTCTTTGAAGCTACCAGACCTATCGAAATTTGGGCCAGAGAAACTCCCCCTCGGCCCATCTGGATAATTGGCCGTAAAACCCCACACAGAACTGGATGAAGCTAATTCAAATCTCTCATTTCCTGCCATAACTGTAATTCAATTATTGGACCACATGTCTACAAAAGGGTTTTCCCCCTTAAAAATTCATTTTACTAAGACTAAATGCACTACTTCTGATGCAGTAATCTAACCAACCCAAAAGAAAACAGTAAAAAGAGCTAAACTTTCAGGAACCACTTAACACTCCAGAACCATGATCTGGAATCAACCGTAAATCATCTGGTCAAAAACTTATTCTCAATCACAATAATTCACCACATTCAAGCTGGGAAGGTTAATGCTAAGGCAGAACTCTTAACCTGCAATGGGAAGAACAAAAAACAGACTTTATGGCAATTAAAACATTATGACTTCATAAATATACTGCATCAATTCAACATACACACACAGAGCTAAAAGTACAATGCCAATCCAACATATACAAACACAGCCATAGCCACAGAGTTAAAATCCCAAGAAAATCAGAACTCTCAAATTGTTTAAGCATTTGAAGCACTAAAATATTTTTCTGCCCCTGGAAAGGGACCCAACATTTATTTGCATAAGGATCAGCCAAAAATATTCAAAATCTCAGTAGCTATACACACCAAAAACATCTACAATGCCCATGAATTAAAATTTAGAGCTTTAAGAACCAATTCTGCCATATCAATTACCAACAGCCACTGATCCCAAAATTAAAAACTGCACCTCTAATATCTAACGGTAACAGCAATGATCTACAGTGTCCACGAGTTAAAGAACTAAAAATTAAGCACTCACTTCTTCGACCTCATTGACTTATACACAAAGCATTGGCGTTTTGACCCAATAACAAAGTAAGACTAACAGTAAGAGCAATTTCTTGCTGTGTAATCATCCCAAGAAAATACCAAAATCAAAGCTTGTGACATTCTTTTAAGCATCCCAAACGCTTCTTAATCCACCCAGAAAATAACACGAGAATTTCCCAAAATTCAAATTTTAAGTGAACACACAATCAAGCAATCATATTAATTTTCAAACCCTAGGTAAAGCAAAACAAGATTCTATGGTTTATGATCAAGAAATCCACTCAAAATTACAACAAAAAATGCCAAAAATATTGAATCCGAAATTCTCGGGACCGTACCAGCATTCATCGATCGAGAGAGAGAGAGAGAGAGACCACCTGGTGAAAATGGTAGGCTCGATTCTTCTTTTCTTTTTCTTTTTCTTTTTCTTTTTCTTTTCTTTTTCTGTCTCGTTCCCTTTGGAGCTGTCGTTGTGGAGATTCACGGTAAGAGATACAGAGGAGGGGGGACCCGCTTAAGGGTAAGTTTCAGGGCTGTCCTCGTACAAGTGCCCTTAATGTCAAGGCCTTTATATAGGGAGGTGATAGGAGTAGTCTCTTACGTTGCTATATATTGACCAAGTATATACAGGTGACGAACCTTTTTGTGTTTTTTTTAGGACACGAGTATGGCCGAGGTGAACAGGTTGTTAGTCCAAAGAAGTGTGAGAAAATAGAGAGGGTAAAAGTTTGCCCAATCTAATAATTGGGGTCTATTATTGATAATACCTTAAACAAGTCTTAATTGTGAGCTCAGGTCAGGAGGTCAGGAAAAATACGAGAAACTCAGAGAATCAGGGTGGAGCTCCCCTCAGAGAGATCGTAGCAGAATCGACTAGAAAATAGTTGGATGATTGCGAAAATTGGACCACATGCATGAAACTCTCAACCAACCAAGATTCTCTCTTAAAATCAAGAAGAATCCCATAAATAATTGGCAAAGATCTCGATTGAAATTCCACAAAAGAGGGGGCAGCCTCATAAATACTATGTAACGTCTCATTGAGAGGGAAAGCAAAAGAAGAACGCTAATTGGATTTTGCATTGTCTTGTATTACATTCAAATAATCAATAGGGAAGAAAAGGAGCAAGAACCTCCATTTGAGAGTGGATTAGCCGAGCTCCCGAGCCGGTGAACCATTATATTCCTATTGTGCAAATTCCTCTATCCCCTAAGAAACACTTCATCACTACCATTACGAAGTTGGCAGCCTAACTTCACTGTTAGTCCCACGCACTCTGTTCACTCACATTAGTCTACACCATCAGTTTGGCGCCATCTGTGGGAACGACTATTCCTGTTACAAAAAAGTTGATCTTTTAGTGACTAATGGTGTCAACATGAAACATAAACAGAAGCCAAACAAACCCATCTCGGATGCAGGACCAACAGGGAGCCACCAATGGCAAACAGCCTGAGAACGTCCTAGAAACTGATCCTTCCACGAGGAATCCCCCCACAAACAACGAGATAAAGGCCCTTCGCCTCGTCAATCAGCGCTTGATAAAGCAAAACGAGAAGCTCTTACAGTGCCCACAGGAGGCACGACCGCCCCAAAAAGGTCAGAACAGTCTCCATTACAGGGATCAACAACATCTTGATTCACTTAGAGAAGACAACGAAGGAGGGGAGAATAGCTAAACTTTAGGGCAAGTTCCCTAATTACCCCCTAGGAACGGCCACAATGAGGAAGTACAAAGTCAAAACCATGAAGGTGAAAAGAATGATGTTTTTCCTTATCAGTAGAAGAGAAAGGAGCAATATTGGGAGCAACGCTTTAAGGGCATCCAACAGGAGCTTAGCCACATGAAGGAAGCTGTCAGAAGTAAAGCTCCAGTTACAATGGACGTCTTGGTGCAGCAGACTGAATCTCCATTCACACCTAGGGTGTTGCATTTTTCCCTCCCACCAAAGTTCAAGATGCCACAGATAGAGTCTTTTAATGGAACCAGGGACCTCATGGACCACCTCAATACTTACAAGAATCAGATGGAATTGCACGAGTACTAGGACCTCGTACATTGTCGAGCCTTTGCCATCACTTTGAAGGGTTCAGTCTTGGCGTGGTTTAACAGGCTCCCCCCAGCCTCAATCTTTTCCTTCAAAGAGTTTTCCATTTTCTTCGTATCCCACTTCATAGGGGCTCGAACCTATAGAAAGTCAAGTTATCAACTTTTGAATGTGAAAATAGGGACCACAAGAAAATCTCAGGTCATATGTCCAAAGATTTAATTTGAAGTTGTTAAATGTGGATGTCTCAGACGAAAAGTTCATCATCACTGCCTTCATAGCTGGTCTAGGGGTGCATTCTAAAGATTTGATGTTCTTCATATCAAAAAATCCCCAAGCAAGCATGGCCAAGGTGCTTGCCAAAGCGGAGAAATACATAAACAACGAAGAAGTTCTTCTTTCTAAGGTAGGGAGCTTTTCCGTACATAGAGACAAGGGAAAGGAAGAGAAAAAAAGGAACTGAAGTCCCAGGAGAGAAAGGGAAAGAAACAGATCTCCAAAGAGAGATAGATCTCCCAGAAGAGATAAAAAGCGATCCCCAAAAAAGAAGGGGGAACGTTAGGGACCACTTAGCCCCCCCACAGCCTGAACTACAGTCGAGGTATGCACTTCAGCAATATACCCCTCTCACTGTGACAGTGTCCCAGATCCTATATGAGGTGCAGAACGAAAAATTCCTAAGGTGGCCTCCACGAATGAAGGCAGATCCGTCTAAAAGAGACCTTACAAAATATTGCGAGTATCATAGGGATCATGGTCATCATACCAACGATTACATTCACCTAAAGAAGGAGATCGAGTTCTTGATCCAGAGGGGACAGTTATGACGATTTGTCGCCCATGACAACCAGAATAGGGCTCCACCACCACCTGCACCCCCAGCAACAAGCCCCTGCACAGCACCAACAACCCTTAGGGGAGATCAGAGTGATATCTGGAGGATTTGCTGGCGGTGGGGAATCCAGTGCAGCCAGGAAAGTACACCTGCGTAGGATCAGAGCTGGCAAAGTGCTGGAAGTACACACCGTGTCCAAAATACCTCGGCTGAGCACAATCATTACTTTTTTGGATTTAGACTTGGAAGGCTGTCAGTATCCCCATGATGACCCGTTGGTCGTAAGGGCCATTGTGGCTAAACAAACTGTTCAACAAGTTCTAATTGACAATGGGAGCTCGGCCGACATCATTTTCGCCTCTATCTTTGACAAAATGGACATAGAAATGATGAAGCTTGAGCCAGTGAGTGCTCACTTTATGGGGTTCTCAGGAGAAAGGGTGCTACCCTTGGGATCCATCTAACTCGTGCTCACTATGGGGGACCCTCCTTGTTAAGCCACCACCATTGTGAAATTACTGGTAGTTGATGTCCCTTTGCGTACAATATACTACTTGGGAGACCATCCCTCAACGCAATGAAGGCTATCCCTTCAGCATATCACCTGGTCGTAAAATTTCCTACAGAAAATGGAGTTGGAATGGTCCGAGGAGACTTGCGAATAGCCAGGGAGTGCTACATGGCCTCGGTGAAGTAGAAAAGAGGTTGAAACTATCCAGTTAGATGAGCTTGACATGAGGGACGAGCTGGACAGTAGGCCCATACCATCAGAAAAGCTAGAGTCAGTCTAGCTTGATGAGAAGCCTGATAATATTGTTTACGTGGGATCTAAGTTGAGCAAAAAAATGAAAGACCTACTCACCCAATTCCTAAGGAAGAACATGAGGGTGTTCGCTTGGAAGCAAGAGAACATGGAAGGCATTGACCCATCAGTCATCACACACAAGCTAAGCATGAATCCTATTTACAAACCTGTTAAACAGAAGCGGAGAAGTTTTGCTCCAAAACGTTAAAAGGTAATTAACGAGGAGGTCAGTAAACTTTTCCACGCCAAAGCCATTAGAGAGGTAGACTCATCAGGGAGATCCAACACCTGATAGGAAGGATAGCCACCTTGAATCGTTTTGTATCCAAATCAAGTGACAAGTGCCAACCTTTTTTTCAGGTCTTAAATAAGGCTTTTCAGTGGGACACCCGGTGTGAGGAAGCGTTCAAAGCACTAAAGGAGTACCAAAGTTCTCCCCCTGTCCTGGTAAGTCCCTTAGAAGGGGAAGTGCTTACTCTTTATTTAGCTATCTTGGATTTCTCAACCAGTGCAGTACTAGTTAGGGAGGGAGACATAGCTCAGCAACTAGTGTACTACTGTAATAGAGCTCTAAGGGGGGCAGAAGAGAGATATCCAAAGATGGAGAAGCTAGTTTTAGCCCTGGTGACTACGGCTAGGAGACTTAGACCATATTTTCAGGCTTATACTATTGAGGTTCCAATAGATCAGCCAATGAAGCAAGTGCCGCATAAACCAGAGTCTTCAGGAAGGCTAGTTA